ACTTAAAAATCGGAGCAAAATTTCTGGTAGAAAAGTTGTTCACAGGAAAAATAATAAACATCATTGTAAAACCAATAAACTCCTCGCTCAGCTCAGAATCTAAAATATATCTTATATGGGTGCTAGGTACTATAGGTACCTATAGTTAATGCCTGCACTCGAGTTTTATATATATACATATATATATATATATATATATATGTAAACTAAATCTACCAGTTGGACCATAGATATGTTCTCAAAAGTTATTTAATTAATTGATTCCCGTAAAAAAAAAAAAAAATTTCAAGCTACTCTTAAAATACAAACGGCTTTTTTTTCTAATGTAATAGTATTTCGTTTTCTCTTTCAAGAACTCTCTTTAGTGTACGTGTTATTATTTATAGAAGTAAAGTAATATACGAAAAAAAAGTATATCTCTCATTTCAAAGCAGTGACTTGCTAACTATAAAAATAATACGACGAGTGTTGAAAGTCGTGGCCGTCTATTTGATTTCAAGGACTGACCTTTTTCGTCAAAGCGTCGTCGACTCACTCAAAGATTAAACATAATAATTTTACAACATTTTTTTTTTTTTAACGCTGTTAGGACAACACCTTCCAAGTACATGTACATAATTAGATTCATGTAACAGAATCATACAGGGTTTCCCTCAATATATACTCATTGAAAATTCTCAGTAAGTACTAACTTTTTCAAAAATTTTTTTTTTTTATTTAAACAGCTCTATAATGTTGAGTTTAGATTATTTTTGGGATGAAATGACTACCTAATTTTTTAGATTTATTTTAAAATGGCAACATGTATAATAAATTCCGTAATTTAATTAATTTAAATATATTCTGGAATTGAAATTTTTTATTTCCGTCAACCCGTTGACGAGATATTCCACTTTTAAGTTTGTGTATAAGGGGAGAGTAGTGGAGTACTGTTCAAACGTCGTGCTCCGTGCTACCACTCAAATGATCCTTCACTACCTCCCTACATGTTCACCGAATATTTATGTTAGTACTTTTGAAATATGATACAATTTTTAAAAAAAATCTAGCAAATTTTGATTTATTTATTTGGGTATTTGACATTTTTTTTTTTTTTTAATAAGTAGTGCAATTGTATTGTTATTATTTATTTATTTTTTTTTTTGGAAATTGTTTAATATATATTTGAATCCTCGTCGTAGTTTCAGTGTTGAAAACTCATACGATTTTTTCCCCACCAAATTATGATTATCACAGAGTGATCTGCACGGGGAATTAATACAAGCATAGTTATAATATGTAGGTATTTATGATAGTTAAAAATCCCACACGACTCGAGCAACGACCGGCAGTTACACTGCGTAAAATATTAATTTCGCTTCCGAACAAATTCAATTATTACCGCGTTGGTGTGACGCAGTCAATTTTTGGTATTATTTTATTATTGTTTTTTTTTTTTATTTTTTTTTTTTTTATAAACCGATGCCGAATAATGTTTTATATGAAACGTTTGTCCAAATATTATTACACTGCCCCCACTGGGGACAATATCGTAACAATATATTAAACGTCCAACAATAATTTCAGGACTGACGTAGTTATATTTCAATTACAATATAGTGTACTGTGTACTGTAGTATACTAATAACACAAAAATCGTTATCAAACGTAAAGTTTCAATCAAAACGTAGTTCCAGGGTAAAGCCTTGATTATATATAAATATACGTCCAATAAGCCGTTCGGCGGTAAGGAGTTGTTGATATTAAATTTTTTTATTTCATTTAATACGAATAAAGAATATACGTTAAGAGTAGATTAAATACTCCGAGAAAATTTAAAAAAAAAAAAAAAAAATATATTTTCTACAAACAGTGGTTTTAATGTAGAAACAGATGGTATCTGAGTGTCAAAGTCTCATTTCTTATTTAACACATTGACGGACACATATAATATAATTTTTACTGTTATATTAGTAGTGCTACAAGTGCATCCAAAATCTATGTAAATTGTCAGTGTGGACTGCCGTAATATGACAGTCCATTGTCTTCTATGATTTTATACCATTGAAAAGATTACTGCTTCAGCAGTATTGAAATAATATGACATTTTACATATTACTACTAAAGCATTAATGTCCGTCAATGTGTCCACTTTAGTTAAAGTCTTCGAAGTCAGTGGACGTTTCAATTATTGTCACTGGGGTATTTTAAAAACTCAAATTAGTTTTATTCAAAGTGAATTCTTTACTGCCTATTGGGTTAAACATATATGTATAGATTATAATAATCTGCAGACTCAGTTTTACTTTTTATTACTGAGCAGCCATATGTGCAGAATACAATTTTTACCCATATTAACATACCATTTTTATGAACATTAATTAATGTGTGTGGTACAGTAACGTCAAAAAAGTCCTATTTCCATGATACGTTCCCCGAAAGTTTGGTTAGGTTTAGATATTTTTCGGGAACACTCCTCGACCTTTGGTAAATATAGTCCCGCTTTTCACTTTTTCCCCCTTTAACCACTCGTTTGTAAACCGATGGTGCGAGATTTCGAAATAGACATCACACACTTGAGGCAGTCATTAAAGAGAGACTTAAAACATGGACAGTTTTAGTCCCTCTGCAAAAACTTTTTAACTTATTTGTCAAACATAAGAAAAAATCATGAATATACGGTTTTTTTTTTAAAAAAAAATTACCTGTCAACAGTTAATACATATTATAACCTAAATAATATACTCGTCTTTCGTATCACAGCTAGAAAAATGTTACCAATATGTTAAAGAACAAAACCATAAATCATTTTGTACATTGGGTAGGGTAAAATAATGTAAAAAAAATGTCAAGCCACGGGTTGATTATTACATACAAAGTAGAAAAAAGCATAATTTTTCATATTTGATTCATTAAAAAAATATACCTGATTTTTGGCCGGTATTCAATTAGCTGTATTCAACTAACTGTACCTAAAAATTATTTGAAAAAATAATTGTTTAAGAACAAAATTTTATTTAAAAAATTATTTTAGTAGGTAGTAGAGGATATCAAATTGAGAATTTAACAAATTCGCCTTTCTATGGTAAATAGAAATTTCTTTTTGCGTTAAACTTAAATTACCTACCCATTTATATACTGTTGCCGGAAAAAAATTTATACCGCTTTTCCATTTCAAACGTCCAAACTGTTAATAATAATAAAAAAAAAGTTTAAACAAAAATTACATCGTCGCTTTAAAATTAAAATTTTGTTTCATCTTTACAATAAATTATTATTATGTGATTTCCTTAATAACGCACACAAACCATCGTTTCAATGGGCTTCTTTTATCATAATAAAACGCAAGTGCGCATTCTTACTTTTTTAAGTTTTTTACCAACTACTATTAAATTCGTCGCTCATGTGTAAGTATATGCGAATAATAATTCGCATTGTTCCCTGTTATTTGGTTTTTATATATTATAATATACTTACTTTTCGAGGAATAAAAACTTCTGAATACTTAGTAAACAAAATGAAGTTCACTGCAGTTGTTCAACATTATATGGAGTTTTACAAGTAAAAATATCTTAAATGGTAAATAATTAATTTAAAAAAAAACCTGAAAAAAAAAGACACTCTTGAAAATTATTAAAAACCAGCAAGCCACTACAATAATTTCTGGTGTATGTACATTGTCGACGCTACGCTCCTCGTATACCAAATAAAGTTAGTATATAGGTCACTGTTTTAGGTTGAAAGTTTGAAAGATATAGTAAGTAATTTTGTTCATTTATCGAAACCAACAATAAATCTTCGCAATCGAAAATCGTTTCTGAGCGGGTTTTGGTAAACCGATATGACTATACGGTAATTCGTATGCATAATTTTTTTTTAGTTTTAGGAAACACTGTCGGGAATTTCGAAAAAATGTTCAAATTAAGTATACTGTATCAATGAATACTAACAAACGAAAATTCCAAATCTTACAAGCGTTGGCGTGAAATCATCGGAACTTTCTTGCTAACCGAAAATGTATTTTTCAAGAACAAAACACATTTCAGTAAAACTAATAGCTTTTTCGCTACACTCGGAATCAAAACTAATATTCTTTTACGAGTATTGAAACAAACGCAAAAATAATACGGAATATCCTATACGGAAGTACTTTGATAGATGAAATAAACTCGCGTGGCGCCAACTATAAACAGATAAAAATTCTGTTAGTATAAATGTTTTATTTGGCGTTTCTTCAAAATGACGCAATTGTACTCGTCGTAATAGTCCACATCGGTGTCAAATCGTAAATAATTTATAAGCGCTACTCTAAGTTTTCCGTTTTCGAACAACACAATGCGTGCATTTGAGTGTAACCAGAGACGTTTCAAATAGTACACGCATTAAATAAACATAAAAAGTTGTGTGAATGGACGGTGATCAGTAAAGTAAATCGAAAAACTCAAAGGCAAATCGTTGAATCGGATATAAAAACAGAATATATCGCGACACGATGTTCAGTAGACAATCTCGGCGTTTTAAAAGTGTCCTTAAGCTTAAAACACCTAATACGAAACGAACAACAAACAATATTTTGAGTGGCCATTCGTAACTGTGATTTTTCAAAATCTTAATTAATCTTATTAAAACAAATGTTTGATAAAATGCACGTGTAGACGTTCGATGACGCGTAGAATTTAGATTTTTAATATTAGTCTTTAAATTATTAGCCGTCTACAAATTGTATACAAGGTATTTTGTGTCTAAAATTATCACTTTTACTGGTTCGCTTAAACACGGCAATTTCGAAAAATGCCATAATATCACTCAACGAATACACGAGAAGACGTAATCGAAAGTGAATTTGTATATTTTCGACCCATGCGCATTTTCGTATTTCACGAAAATCACGTTAAAATTCGCCCGTACTCTGCGGTCTCTGGAATTAGACTGCTACGAGAAGGATTATTAATAACCCGTTGCGCGCGATGTTGGAAAATGGGGGTGCAAGTACAAAAACAAAAATGTGAAAAAAAAAAAATCGACATAATTTTAATATACGAAAATATTATGTTAACATAAACTCAGTAGGTATAGTATAATATAATATAATTAATAAGTGTATTATGCGCAGATTTCGTGCGGCCTCGTAATAGTAATAGTATAATGGTATATAAATATTTTGTTTTATTAAAATTGAATACATAAATATATATAATGCGCGTACAATATAATAGTAAATTAATCGTTTGAATAAAATAACGTTATTGTTAAAACATAATAAACGACACAAACCGCGAGTATAATAAATTAATAAACAGGGGCATGCCGGCTAAAAGTTAATTGCGGTCGCTATCACTGCGCGCGCGCAGGTCCCCAGACACGGAATGAAATATATCCAATAATAATAATAATAATAATAATAATATAATGTTATCACGGGACAAATGACGTGACGTTATTTATTAGTTAGGAAAGTCGATGATGATGATGGTGATGATAATAATATAATCAGTATATTTACAAAATATCAAGCCGTTATATTTTTTATTTCTGTCCCCCCCCACCGCCTCCCTATGTCTGGTTAAACTCTTTAGCTTTTTTTTTTTTTTTCTCTCGCTTACGCGCCTGTTTATATTATCGTAGTTATCATTAGTGTCATTAATATGGCCTCAAAAACCACGAATTTAGCGAAATTTTACGTTAATATAATATAATTATAACATTACTCTCGTTATTATTAATAATAATAGGCTTGTGAATAATAATTGTAATACAAGTTGCTGTTCCGCTGCGACGCGTACCCGTTCGTTTTTTTCATTTTCTTCCTCGAAAACGCGCCGCCTCCGTCCCGACTGTCGGCTCGCGACGGCTGCGAAAACCCTGTGAAACAAAAAAAATCATAAATGCCGAATCTTTAAATGAAAACCGCGGACGTCGAAAACGATAGTACAATCGTTACTAACAATACAAACTGGGATTAAGTCGAGACAAGTAATCGTGGGCGAAAATAATCACCTCTTCTCACTTATCGGCGGCAAAATGTCGGTAAACATTTCCCCGCGGAAGGAAATATTACATTTTATATTTTTATCATTGTTGTTATAATTTTTTTTTTTTTTTTTTAATCATTTATATAGCTTTTGTACGGACGGTGTTTCCTTTGTTTCGCCGCCGCCAAAGTCTTACCGGAGGGCGTTATGATAATGCTAAAATATAATATACGGCGAACGAGTTGATTGAAAAAAATCCCCCCCCACACACACACACACACACACACACTTGCAAATGCCCTCGATGCGGATTTTTCCGTCCTATATGTGTAGGTGTTGTATTGTGTGCACGGCAACGCGCGTCTTGTAAAAGTTTATTCGACGTTACAATATTATTATAAATTTGTTTTGTTTTGTCGGTGAAATATTACACTATGTATCCCGAAAATTAAAACGATATTAACGTCGCAATATATCATCGGTTCCGATTCGATACACTATATCTCGGATAGAGCAACTGCGTACGGGGTGTATCCCGCGAAGATGTACCCGTTGTAATATATCCGGAAAGATAACCGAAATTCTATGTTTTTTTTTTTTTTTTCAATACTACTCACCGGGATATAGAATAAAAATACTTATATAACAATTCATTTTTTCACGCTCTGATAAAAAATTAAATAGAATAACTTTTTATTTTATTATTTTTGAAAAACTTGAGTTTATTTTTCTGAACATTTTCATGTATCGACTTGATATTTTTCATTTCAAATCGCGTTCTCTAATTGATTATTATTATTACGATTAATTGACTGTACACTTCGCTTTTCTCTGAACTTTGAAAAATGATTGAAAATCACGAATTTAATGAAAATAAAAAGTTGATTCGTCAAAGTTTTCAGATGAATAAACTCTGTGAAATGGATAACTAAAAACGTTTCAAAAATAACAAAATAAAACAATTTTCTTTTAAATTATTCACCTAAACATAAAAAATAATTGCAATATAAATATTTGTAATCCTTATCCTAGTGAGTATAATAAAAAAAAAAAAAACGAATTTGCTTATCTTTATTATCTCCGAAGATGTTAAAACGGGGATATCTTCGTGGGACGCCCTGCATTAACTCGTTGCGTCGTTGTAGGGTTTCACATTCGGATTGATTGCGGGCGGTTGGCATTTGGGCGAGGTTGTAAAAATTGCATTTCGTTTGGACAATTTCTCACAACGCGTTTGCGCGAGTGATTTTAAAATATTGTGTGATATGTTCGGGCGACTTATAACAATCGAATTTCTCCCTCGTTATAACAGATTCGGGATTGATTGGTGCATTCCACGGGTGCGATTAAATATTTTTAATCGAAATGCATCGTTTATTTCGTTTTCCAGTAAAAGCGTTTTCGATTCTACGATCCTTATTCGGTACACGGCTCGTAATAATTAATGACTGTGAACTAATACTAAATACTCGCAACTAAAACACTATGAACTCACGTGTCCGATATACGAGCAAATCCTATGTTTGAAATTTTAAGATACTATAATAAGGTATACGCAGGTATTCTATAACATTTTTAGTATGTGTTATTTACAATTTTATCTTTTATGTTTTAATACGTATTTATCATTCTCTCTCAAACGTATAATGAGGAATCCGCCCTGTTTTGATTACGCGGGAATAAAGGTAGTTCGGCCGAACGCATGACGTCCTTGATTGCACCGGCGGCCACTGCAGAGCGCGATCTACCGACTGCACCACCGCCGTATAAATTGTTCCGGTTGTTTTTCTCGGTTGTAAAGAAAAGTACAAGGAATTTCAAAATATCAACCTTGTCAACGCACCGCCGAGACAAAATTAGCTACCAGAAACCTTGCAATGTTTACGATCGGACTACGTTCTTCTAACGAAATTCGTGTTAACAGAGAAAACAATTTTGAAACTAATAACAAACACACATACACATAAAACTTGATAAAACTATACTATTTTTCATGTCTCAAAATCTAAGAAAACTAAATATTATATTAACTGTTCCTAAATTCCCAAACACCCGTAAATTCATATTTTGATGTTTGAAAGACTAATATTGTTGTGGCAAAACGTTGAACTGCGGTGTATGCGGTTTTCGAAAACATGTTTCAGACACGTCACGAGTTCGGTTTAAATATCAATTCCGCAAGACAACGACGCGTTAATTAACATGTCGTTAATGCGATAATCGTTGTGGTCAAAACAGTTTTAATCGCAAAACCCGCGCACTGTAGTTCGTTTTTCGATGACCTTTTTGACAACTAGATCGAGTATAAAAAAAAAAAAATCGTTTTTGCCGAGGAAAATTTAACAAACATATCATGTTTTAATTGTAATCCGGAATAATAAAAAAAAGAACTCAAACTACTAAAGGGTATACCACTATTGTAGGAAATTTGGAAGATATGATACATAGAGTTATTTAATTCGTGCCTGTAAACAACGATCAATTATTGCTAACGAAAAACGAATCTGAGCGAAGTTCGTCAATATATGATTTGAAAAGCCATAATATTTACAATTTTCATGAAAATTTGATCTTAAAACCATTATCTAACAAAATTACTACAACACGCTCTTTTTTTTTTTTATTTTTTATCACTATTAGTACAACTTATAATGAACCTCTTGTTCACTTTTCAAGCATTTCTATTCGGTCAAATATATTATGTTCTCATATAGTACCTACTAAAGAAAAACTACGTACAAATATAAAATGCCCATAAATAGCTTAAAAATCACCGGAATTATTTGAATACTTTACCACATCTAAAAAAAAAGCATATATATTTTTTCTGTCAAAATTTCAAGTCTACGAATATTTAACTGAATTACAAAAAAAAAATAAAATTGAAAATATTGATACCATTGTTTCTGTACACTTTTACTTTCTTTCTACGTTTTTTTGTTCAATTTCTAATATCAATAAAACTCCACGTAAAATTAAAAAACTACTTTTTACTCACCAACTAAATCCAAAATACTACAAAAAAATTATCTTCTCATTTACGAATGAAGCAAATTTTTTGTTTTCGAAAAGATAACACACAAAAGTTAATACCCACATATCAAATTAAAACCAATAATCCCTATACAAAAAATGATAAATAGAGTTTATTATTGTGTTTCTATTCAATAGTAAATTATTCTTAACATAGTACGATTCTGAACGAGTTCAGTAATACAAGTCTTGAAATCCTATATTATTTTACGATTTATGTCAACATTTTAAGTCTAACAACTATATTAACAATAAACAATTTTAACAACATAACTCAACTGTTTTTTTGTTTTAATAAGTACAACTCATTATACTGAACATAGTCTTAAATTTTTAAGTATTTCTGTTTGGCTAAAACAATTTTATCCACATAAAACCAAATGAAAATTTAAAAAACGCTACCTATGAATAAGTCAAAATTCGACAGAAAGTTTTGAAAATTTGACTACGCCTATAAAAATTTCAGATATCTAATGAAACCGTTATTGCCGTAAACTTTTCCGTTTTTCATACATTTTTCCCAGTTTTTCCCAATTAACGTGATCATTATTCACATTAAGGGTGTAATTAAAATACTCGCATACCTTACGATACAAACACAGCGTTCCACGGAGTAAATTCAAATTAATTAAAATATTTCCAATATTTCCATCCCCGTTTATGCAGACGCACTAAAATCGAATAGTAGAATTTTATTAGTTGATGACATTACTAGAACATTTACTTGTTCCAAGCTGGAAATCACGGAGTCTATGATTTAACATCTGAATACGTCGACCCTTTGCGAAAAACGGAGTAGCGCTTCAAATTAGTTTAGCTTTGGTACGAAAGAATTCGATTAAACGCAAACTCACGACTGTCTCGAGAACACTATATACGAATATTATATTTTCAACGCGCTAAGTCGTATAACTTGTGAACCTATAAGTCTTACTATAATTTTTCGACAGTAGTTTTCAAAAATCTCCTACCAAGAAACATATACAGCAGCAGATATGCTAGCATATTCTCTAAACACAATTTATCGAAGACAGTAAAAAGTCCTCCTGTTCATTTGTTCGCCTCTTTCGTATAATCAAAAACGACCAACTTACATAGTTGGAAATTGATTTTTAGATTAATTTTAGATGTCGGATATCGAGTCCGGTATATTGTTTGTAATATGATGTTTGAATTCAATACGAAGATGAGATATTTTTTGAAGGCTTGTAAGTATGGTTATGTGTGTTTGTTTCACACACAGAAAATCCAAGTATTTTTACTCTCGTTAACATTCTTCTATGTGTACAGTTGAATATATACATAAGTATACATAAAAATACGGGACAAAGGTACAAAACCTAGTTGAAAAAAAGAGGACGAAATCAAATAATGTGTACAGAAACAGATGACCAAAGTATAAAAAGAAATAATTTTGCATATTCGATTTTTTGACATGTATATCATTTAGATGTAGTCTACCTTTGGCTCCATAATTATACACAGTGATTTTTTTTAAATGATTAAAAATTAACTGTTTAACCCCATAAAACTTTGAGTATATAAACAATTACGCTTGTAAAACGCACGTGCTAGGATATTTTATACTCAACCCTAGAGATGTAAACTATATGATACGAATTGTATTAGACTGTATTATACGACATATATAAAATAATATATTATCTCTGGTACACGAAAAAAAAAAAAACTAATAAATAGTTGATAATAAGATAATAACAATTTATAAGTTTTAATCGAGGTTTTAATTATTTCGGTAAATGGTCAAACTACAAAACGTTATCTTGCAATTCAGTGAGTTATGTTTAAATGTTTCAGTAAAAAAACAATAAACATATGCTGTTGTATTTTAGATCATAGATATATGTATTTTTTAAACGCAGGTTTTTAATATTACAATATTATGCTTATGTAAGTAAACCATACTGAAACCTAAGAACTTTTCGTCCAATATTCGGTTATTCCTACAGGCTATATTACAAAACGTACCGAAAGATTTATTGAAAAATGTTCCTATTAAGTTTTTCAACAAATAATTTGTATGTTGATTCAATTGTATTGGTTTATCATAAACTTTTTTTTTATATTAAACTATAGTCTATACTTTACAAAATGTTCTAATAAATATTTAATATTGTTTACAAGTTGTACTTATTATTTACACTTACGTATTTATTCAAATTCATTGTAACTGAATAAAAGTACTGTAAAAAATATGAGCAAATGGTAAGAATTTAAACATCAAAAATATAGTATGTTAGTCTAAACTCTAAAATATACATTGAAATTGAATAAAAAATAATAATTCAGAATTTTGATTGAGTCGGAATAAAAACTATCTTGAGCATAATATACTAAATTGTACACACTAAAAATAAAATAAAATAATTTTACATTTCTATCGGAGCACTGGCTGTCTTCTCTATAATAATTATGCAATCGCTCACAGTTCGCAGTTTTAGTTCAGTTTTATACTATGCACTTTTTTCAGAAAACGCCTCAAGTCAAACTTTATTAAAGTTATATTAAAGTTAGTAAAATTATCAATAACAACAAAAATAAATGTTTTTTTTTTTTTTAAATTTAATAACTTTTCCCCTTTTTATGTTCGTAAATAAAGAATGATTTAATAACTATGTATTATTATTTATTTGAATTAAATTTAAGATTATAATTTTTTAACCTAAAAGCCGCGCTGTTTAAATAGCTGCAGATTAAATAGATACTAAAAACACCTCTCTAAATGACAGTTTTTGATAACATGTTATGTCCCAGCCTAGTCTTCAAAGGCCGTTCTCCTGGATAACGTAGCTAGTAATACTCGAATCTAACAAAAAAAAATTCGATTATTTCGAGACTCTAGATTCAATATTCCGAAACACTAGGTTTTCCGAGACGGTTCTCACATCTTTATAAAATACACTGTATTATACACCCGCTTTCCTGCCTACGGTCATTAATCAGAACGAGAAAAAACGTGGCGCAAAATGCGTTTCCGTTTTTATTCCGCGCATCATCATTATTATAAAATCGAAATTAAACGAAACGCCGCTGCCGAACACGCTATATAATAGGTATTCTCTTGAAGCACGTCAATTAATCAACCACCGAACACTGGAGGTGGTGCAGGGTAAGTATACACACGTATATATAAATGGGAATGGCGAAGAAGAAGTACGCGGTTATAACGCTGTATTTTCGATTCTACCGCTTCGACGTCGCACCCTCTCTCCCGTCCATTTCGAATCGTTGCTACAACGGCCGATAATATTATACATATATTTCGTGTCCAAAAATCCAGTGCCCTGGGAGGTAAATTCGCAGGTTTTATACGAAAGTTTAGGAAAACGTTGTTATTATTATTATTATTGTTATTAAACCGTCGAGGTAATCCGTAATAATCTTCACGACGATCTGTAATCTTTCATCGAACTTTTCTTTCATTTGTCACTAAATATTTTTTACTGCAGTATGGAAATAAACGAAACGACGTTAATGTAGAAATTGACATCAAACTAAAAACTAGTAACAGCCGCTACCATGGTTTGGAAAACAGTTAAACTCAAAAGCAATATCGATAAATTTAAACTGGCAAATTTACATGATGTTGATGTGACTAGTGGTGGTGTGTAGTTTAGAAATATAGCGTTTCAAATAAATGAAAGAAATAAGATCGGAAGTTTTCAAAAGAAAATTTGTTTGACCATGGAAGGATGCTCAAGCTAGGGAATAGAGAATAAAATACAATCGAGAACTAAAGGATCATTTCCAACGTCCTAGAATCGCAAATTAAATTTTATTGAGGAGAATGAAATGGACAGAATATAAGGAGCCAATAATAAGATATGTAATCGAAACAACCCAACAGAAAAATGACCACTATAAGAATAATAATTTGTTTAAGATTGGAGAATTGTTATGCTGGAGACGATGGAGCGGTGGAATTTGAAGTACAATAGAGAAAGGCAATAGAAGACAAAAATAGATGCCGCTACGCCGTAAGAAAAAAAAAGACGAAGAAGATATAAACGAAAATAATTAGTCGGGAAATTAAATTATCGGTAGACACACCGAAACAATAGGTTCGCATCATGTGCCCGTTGGCTGTTTTAACTTTTATGATTTTATCGGTTTTACTACGAGATATTTAATTTTTTTAAGTGAATGCGAAAAAGTTTTCGACCGGAGATTTGTGTCTCGAAAATCCGACATGAGGTTAATATCACACAATTTTTTGCTGTCAAATTTTCCCTAAAACTATAGACTATTTCACTGCATTGTGCCTATTATTTATCATTTTCCCGCTACTTTTGAACACTTTTAGTAGCTCTCTCTGTACCAAATAAGCTTAAACTGCATGATAAAGTTTTGGTTGAATTTTAATATGAATTTCACCGTATTTTTTTAAGCTTCAAATTTTTACGAAAGTCATAAAAATTCTCGAAAAATTGTCCACTGTTTTTCTTATATAAAAATTGTTCGACTCCAAAATAAATCTCAAATTTATAATACAAAATAAAAATGTGAATAGTCACAAGTTTTTAAATTTTTAAATTATTTATAATCGTATTATTAAATACTATTCGTCCAAAAACAATTCATTAACTTAATTAACTTAATTCTGCACTTTTTTTTTTGTTGATATTTATCGACTCTTAGAAAAACCTTGTTTTTTATTATTTTTTTCTCAAATATAATTAAAAAATCTTAATAAATCGTTGATAAATGTAGCAAGAATTTTGCAAGTAAATTATAATAATAATAAAAAAAAACATTTCTATAACACTCGAATCGCGCGGTACACTGTTGACGCTCCCTTAAACACGGTCGCAGGGACAGAAACAGAACCGTAAACGCCATCGCGGTAACCATCGATAACCTCCTCGTCATAATAATAATAATAAAATTATTATGTTATTGATTATAACTCGAACACGTCAAATCGTCGAAACTGTCAATGTTCGCCGCACGGGGTGTATCGAAATTACTAAAAAAACTTTTTTTTTTTTTTTTTCTATAAGCCCGTCAATAAGTTTATATACCTATCGTCAAACAGACGGGGCTGAACATTATTCTCATCTATCATCCGTCATATTTAAAATATTATTATAATGTATACGACTCTCGAAAATCTTTATAAGAAAATTTCACATTATCCCATATTTATTATAACGCGAATAATACGTATTTCGTCCGCTATTTATTATGTACATATTTTTTTTTTTTTCATTGTATTATACAATTAAATTCAAATATTTTATATTATCATTACATCGAAGAAGCGTATATCAAGTTTTACTATGATGTGTGTGTGTGTTTATTTTTCAAAGAAAAGACTTTTTCAGTTAGTAAAAATCATAAATTGAAATCATGGAATCATATAACACGGTAATAAATCATAAAAATGTGTGTGGTTATATTACACAGCCAGTACAATGTGTCCCAAATGTATGGTTTAATTTGTTTTGCTTGTTTCAATGAATTCGTAATGATATTATTAATTTCACTTTTTCCACAATGTCACACCATCATCTTCCTCCGTCTGAATAAACAATATTCGTCAAAATCGATTGTTGCGTCGAACGTGTAGTTATTCCTGGGGTCAATTTAGCCGTTAATCGAAATTAATTTTCTAAAACAAATCCATCGGTACCAGAAAAATAATGTAATTTATTATATAGCACAATAAAGCCGCAAAACTAGGGAAATTATTTTATTGCATTGGTATTTTTTCTATTTGTATTAATTAAACAAAAGTGAAGATATTTAGGTATTCAAAATTAAACACAATTAAAATGTATGAATCAAACAGTTACAGGTTTGATATTTGAATAACTTAATGGTTAAACACTATTTTCTATCTTAAAACACCAGAGTGATAACAATTATTGATAACGATATCGTTATAGATTTATAATATATGAATATATATTTTATTGTTTTTTTTTTTTCCTTTTTATTCGCATTCTTCTCAACATCACGCAACCGTTACTTATAGGTTAGGATCATATGTCAATCGACTATTATTATATGCAAGTGTAAGGTGTAAACGTTAAAATGCTTTCCAGATGAATAAAAAATGTTTTTAAAAATCCAATTAATTACACATATCATACAATGTCAGAACGCGTCAATATTCAATATCACCAATGCACGTAAAGGTCGAATATAATTCGTGTTTATATAGTTTTTATTCTGTCGCAATACACGGCAATCCACGACCGACAACCTGTCGTCATAATATTATCATGAAACCGACGTATGGGTGGTAATATGGGTATTATTATATGCTATGAAATACATAATACAATATATTATATTCACGGTACATAGTAAAATAATAATAATTATGACGTGTACCCATGAAAAAAAAAAAAAAAATGAATATCGACCGACGACGGGGACGGAAAATGCATGTTGGAAAAAAAAAATAAACACTCTACCGAATAAAGAATAGAAAGAACGTGTGCGCGTATATTACGCGTATGAATAAACTCTACACGCGTGCATATTATAATAATAATGTATTCATCGATAACAAATTATTATAGTGCCAAAGTTAGTTGGACGGGTTTTCGTTTGTTTGTTTTTTTTTTTTTTCAGATGATATATTCGTATATAACAATCCCGACATTTTCATTTCGTAAAAAGGAAACTTTTTTTTTTTTTTTTCAAATATAATAATTTACGAATATCGCCGTATAAATATTGACTATAATATTATGTATATCTGCACTGTACCGTGGATCGTACAGGTTGACTTTATTTTTTTACGTACCGGCGGTTATCGATGTACGTACGTTGCGAGTAAATTTGTTTTCTGTTTGTTTTTATATAATTTATACTATATGCATTGTGATATTATCTATAGATTCGTTTTTTCAAAAACTTTATTCCAATATAGTATAATCCGTTCATACGACGAGTCGCGAAACTAGAAAATTCAGATTAATATCGTTACGCTATGTCCTAACCCGGGCATTTGCGGCGCGTGCTTTGCCGGAAAAACACAAGTCCGGTAATATAAGTACGGATGTTCTAATAGGCCGTCGCTAAATTGGCTCTTACGAATCAGGTAAAGTATCCCATCGTCCGGTTGAAACGGCTCCCGAAAAACGTAATATCGAACTGACTCACGATAATATTTTCAACAACAGGATCTCGAAATATAAACGTAAAAAAAGTGTGTGAAATTAATTTGTTTAGCAACGCAGTGCCGGATTACCACGAGAAACTACCTAATCGTTGAGCCAATAACTAATTGTGAAAAACTGGGAAAACCGGGTAAATCGGTACGATATTAAACAAATATTATTCAAGCAAAAATATATGGAGCCAATTTAATTATTTTACTATGATATGACATCTACATTGTTGACAAAGCATCACGATCAACTGAATTCCGCTCAGAATCGTTTTTTCGAAAGCAAAGGTTTATATCGTTGCTTGCGGGTATACATTAAGTTACCTTATAACAGTGGCTGCGCCCGTCCTCATTATCCCAGGTTATCACTTTTTTTTTTTTGTATTTAAGCTTGCATATTTTAACAATTAGTCTTCGGAAAGCAACAACTCTCGTTGTTTATCCGTCAGTGGCATATTGTTTAAAACTGTCAAAGAAACAATACAAATTTCCCCGCAATCGTCTACGATAAATCGAATATAATTTGTGCATATTAAAAAATTACACGCAACGTATTGCGGTAAGGCGTAACACAACGAACCCATTGCATTTCTGGATTAAATTAAGATGTAGCGTTAGAAAGGGTACATGATAATTACATGTTCGTTTTTAGAAAATTATACTCTCTACTCTCCCGGTAAAATACGTTTATTTTTTTTTTTTTACCGTAAAACTCATACGCGGTACTTTTATATCAACATTTTAAATTCAAAAAATACTGTCATTTCGAATCTGAGATTGAAATGAACACGGATTTCTGTTCTAAAATCAATATAGTTAAAAATAAACTATAAAATATACAAATTCAATGTATTAGAAATTCGAGTATGGGAATTTATGGGCGTGGCGCAAGGAATTGTAATGTTTTAACCATAAGAAAAAAGACCATACGATTCCGCCACACCCACCGACCTCTGCTGATTAACACGGCGAGTTTTAACTCAAATTACTTGTATACCTATCAACTATAGAATAGAAATTATAACATTTTTCAAAAACTATTACGTTGACAGGTGGTGCCACTATATCAAAATACACGAAATAACATAAAGCGAGTACTATTTCAAATAATAATAACAATAATAATAATAATTGCGAAGATTTTTTTTTATTTTTATTTTTCGACACAATTATTATAATAAGAGTAGTACGTCAATCAATAAAATAAAAATGACAATCATTTTTTTTTTTTTTGTCTGGTCGTCAAGTTACGACGATTAAACAACTTAACAATCCGCAAACCGAAACAAGATGATAGGTAATAATGATGTTAGTGTGTGTTTGTGTATGTGTATATGCGAATGTGTGTTGTGTGTATGTGCTATGATGTCATCATATTATAACGAACGAGGTCACAAAACGTGTACTTTTTTCTTTCTATTTTTCATTCCATGTTATTGCTGTATAGCGTACTTCCTGCGATATCAATTGTACATCATCGCAGAGCGGTCGTAATAATACTACGGGGTTAAAGTCTCTGCCTTACCCTTAACAATAATAAAAAATCATAAAAACAAAATGTACCCGTTACACAGGGTGGTTTTGTTTTTCATTGGCAATATTTCACATAAATCAATGATGTTTTAGACGAAATAAATAATTCTGGTTTGGCGTAAATAATATTTTTATCGCCATCTGCAATAATTCTTCTTACTACCAGCAGTGATTCTTTGCAAAATCACCAAACTCAATACGAGTGATACGAAATTAGGTTGTCTGGCCGATCTCGTGTGCACTTAACGCTGAATTCAAATCAGAATACCTATTGCTTTAATACATCAATTTGACTGATGCACGTGCAGAAAATCGGTTTACATTTGTAAGCTGCATAATATGTGTAAGACCAATGTTCCCCAAACTAAAGAGGGACGTAAACACATTACTAGAGAGGCACAAGCAGTCAACACGGAGTACAAAATTTGATTGCATTAAATTTTTTTTATTTTACATAAACGGCAGTAAAAAACTAAAATGTAATAATGATCGGTTACTGCATATCGTTAAACACTCGTAATCTCCGCCGGGTACACAAACAAGACAATTTCGAGTTGCCGCGCCGTCAGTAAATAAATAATTATTAATTGATTATTTCATCATGTTATTCACTATTATTTATATTTTATAATTAAGATCGTCAATAGAAAAATAGTCTTTACGTCTATTGTATCATAAAGTGTTCGAAAAAAAAAAAGCCGTACAGAGGCGAAGCGTGAGATTTTTGAAGATCTACAAGGGTAAAAAGGTCAGCTACCTTAGACAAAGAAATAACAAGAAATCCTCGTTCCGTTCGGAATCCTTTTGAGCCATTGCGTAACGAACACACGTTTATAATATGACGACCGTTTCTTTTGGAAAAACTAAACGCGAATACACACTATTAACGCACGCTATATTGATAGCATACCGACATAATGGTTCTACATCAAACAAATAATATAAAAATCACCTTGTACACCGTAAACTATTTTACATGACACGATCTCGATAATCAATTAAAAAAATATATATTGACCCCAAACAAACAGTTAAGAGGAAGGTTTGATCTATCTGCTCGTAGACTAGAATTAAAAGGTGGGAAAATTTCCTAGTGTGATGCCTCGTAAAGGTATATCACTTTAAATATACCTTGATATACCAACTAATATACTTTGAGTCTTAAAACCTTAGAGTATCACTTTGGAAATAGTATAAAACTCCCTGTTATACGTGTTCACGCTTTCATGTGAAATTAATATTCAAATCAACAAAACCGTGTACTTCAAAAATACGTAAAGTTACACGGATGTTCGCGTATTTCCGTATTTAAGTTTGCTAAGTTGTTCAAAATTTAATTCGATAATAAAATAAATTAAAATTACATAAAATTCACAAAAAAATTAATATTAGTAGTACATTATTGCCTTAACAACTATCCGTGAATACGTAAATACGAGAATAATACTAAAATAAGAGCATAAGGATTATATATTCACGTGTATACGTGAGTAGATATTTTAGATTCTCAGTAGAGCGAAGAAAGCTTATAGTTTTACAAAGATGTTTATTTTTATTTTGTGAGCAAATTTTCTGAAAGGAAATCTACGTTGGGAGGTGCGTAGGTAAGGAATAATTTTTCGATTTTCTCAAGAGTTTACTCATCAAATTTGAAAAACCGAAAAAAAAAATCGGAAAATATAAGAAATGTAGATATTAGTTAAAATATATTACGGCCTTCTTTTTTTCTGTGCACAACTTTTCTATCAGCAATTTTACTCCAACTTTTAATGATATCAATATTTTTAAAAAAGAAATGTCACGAGCAAGATACTATAAAAAGCTCATTTCTTGATATCTCCCAGAGTTTTCCAGAAAACCTGGAAAAAATAGGAAACCTGGGAACTAAATTAAACAAATATTATTAAAGAAAATATATAAAGCCTATTTAATTATTTTACAATACAACGACATAAATATTATTAACAAAGCACATCACCATCAACTGAACTCCGCTCAGTATCGTTTTTTCGTCAGCAATGGTTTATTGTTGCTTACAGGTATACATTAAATTATCTATAACAGTAGCTGCGCCCGTCCCCGTTATCATAGGACTTCTTTTTTTTTTTTTTTTTTTTCATTTTACGTTTAAACAAACTTTACGTCCGCGTTAATTTACGTTTTCAACCGAGACCTCTAGATATCAGCCGACGATATTAGTAGGTATATTAAACGGAACACTATATACTACTATGTATAGGTTCGTTATTGCAATCACCAAACGATTGTTCGCAAACCTCAGAATACTGGTACATAACAATATCGAGTACGAATATAATAATAATATTATTATACATCGGAAATACCGTACCTACTGGAAAACAGCAAACAGGCAAATCACATTTTACACCGGAGTTCCCGTAGCGTTCGTCGGATGCGAAAAATAAAAACCCACAATTTCCTTTTGTCGTCCTGCTGCGGTTTCATACTCTGTTCAATAACGCGGTTTATACATTTTCATTAAATTAATGCGCGTGTAGCGTTGTATGAAATATTCAAAATGGCGATAAATTCCGTGTCAATCAGACGTCGTATTCATTTTTGGGTCTTACTGTTCATAATAAATGTATAGTGAAAATTTAAACGTGAACATATACGATGGTTTCATAAAAACTTATTATAAAATACCAACGACATATATATTATTATTATTTTTATTATTGTCTTCCAATATTGTGTATCGCATAGACAAAAACCGAACAGTATTACACCCACTGGGAAGTTTAAAGTTTATAAGCAGAGTAGTCACTGCTCTATAAAACAGAAAATTAAAAATAAATACTACAAAATACGAAATTCGCGTGTTAGTTATACGCCTTTATTATGAAACACAAAGTTTTTGTTAATTATGTTTTATGTTGAACGGATTTGAAAAAAAGCGAACACCCGGTACAGTATCCGCCGAGGTACCTAACCCATAAATCAACAAAACTAACCCGATGTACTGTCGTTTTTTTTTTTTTTTTTTTGATTTCTATGGAAAAATATGGAAAATTTAGTCAAAATGTTTCAAGTAAATTATGACCATAAAAAAAATCCACATCTTTTGAGGTACTTTACGTGAAAATACCAAGTCAGTTTAGTAATTAAAAAGGTGTTTTCCAAGAAAAAAGGTTTTTAAAAACGCTTCTTAGTAAAACTATTCAATCAAAAGCTTATTCAATACAGTCAGAATATAAAATGTCTTATCAATTCTATGAAATTATACAGAAATAGAAAAATACAACATTTTAATAGAAATATACCTATTTACGGAACACTAAAAATGGAAATAAAAACCTATTTTAATTTACTATAGTAATTATAAAAAAATATTATAATAATCGCTATGACATCGTTATTATTATTTTTTTTTTTCTTTTACTATCTGAAAATTAAAATCTCGAATACAAGTTCATTTCAAAAGAGGTTTATACAACCACAACTAAACATTTTGTATTACGTTATAAAATATATTCGTCTTTCATTATAATTATTTATATTACCTATGTGACAACATAAAACGACAATTTCAATTTATCGTTTTTAATGAGAAATGATTTTAATAGAGTTTAAGAGAATATTCATCTAAAAAATACTCAAGACATAATCTTTTCAAGTAATAATGAATTAAATTGAAATAAAAATATCAAATAAATTAATTTGCGAGTCTATGCAGTCTCTTGCAGATTTAAAAAAAATAATAAGAACTTAATACAATTACAACTCGAGATTACTTTTTCACTTAGTGCTACTGTATCAAATGTGAATCACAATAAAGTACTAATTGTATACATTGTATACGTATATTTTTTTCGCTCATTTTCGGCACATTTTTAGCAATTCCAAAAGAGCTCGAATTCTGCAATTATAGATTTTTTATAGGCGTATTGTAGTGTTAAAATTTCGATTGAATTTCAACATGAATTCACCATGTTGTAGCAGGAGATTGGATTTTTTAACTTCGTATACCCTTACAGACCAAATGACCCTCCACCAAATTATGATGAAATTTTGTATAATATACACGGTGTAAGATACAAGAGTGTATCTTTTGGGAGTTTCAAACTTGCAAAAACTCCTCCCCAGCCGTTTTCATACTCAAATTGTGTGTTTTCACATGAAATACTAAATGTCAAATATCTATATTGACTAAAAGATAATACACAATTGGGAGCCATATCTACGAAAACCAATCATAAAAAAAAAAAAAAACTAAATATTATATCAGCTACAAGTTGGCTGGAAGAAAATTCAACTCTAGTGACGGAACTCTGTTGCTCATTTTTTTTTTTTTTTTTCATATTATTTATTTTTTTTTTAATCTACTAATAGACCAGAATAACGAAACAATATTATGTTGTTGTAGGTTTCAGAAACAGAATATAGAAAACGATAATTTTATAAAATGTTATTATCTATACTAACATTACGGTAAACATTGTAGGTATTTATTTCAATTTTAAAAGTTTAAAGTTCAATATTATTTAGTCTTTAATAATTCAGACCTCGGTATTTCGTATTTAGAGCTTCCTCGTAGCCGTATGCGGATCATTAAAGGGTTTGAATTCCTCGCAATTTTCCTGATAGTGGGGAAAACCCGAAAAACAGAAATATATTTTACAAAACGCCGGGATTTTTTTTATGAAGTCTTCTATGTGCGGTAAATATCTAAAGTATAATTGTTATTTTTTAATTATTTTAAAATTTTTATTGTTTATGAGTTATTGTTTTACGATTATTTTTACCGCGTATTCTATTCACGAATCGCCGTAAGTTCCTATTGCAATGATCAAAAATAGAAAATATCTAGCGCAATGCCATAAATCTTAATCGTTATTTTTAAAACATTTGGTGATCAAATTTCGACGACAAATCAATAACATAATACACTTAGTTAACAGTATTGATAAAATGTTGAGTTAAAATTTGTTTTTAAATGTCTAACCACGGTCGATCTTTTTTTAAAATTATAAAATTGTATATAAATAATTTTTAGGGCATAAATTCAAACAAAAATGTAATTGCCATAATTCTCTGATTAAATTTATCATCGTACATGCATTTAGTAATTTTCGATGAAAAATGTGATAGCCAGTTATAGGTATGACACGACGGAAAAATAATAATTATAATAAACACTTTTATGAAACACTTTCCTAATTATCGTTTTAAATAAAGTTAAAGACAACCTTCTATAAACACTTTGGTACCGGGCGTATGTTTATCAGGTACGTTTCAAAAACAAAACAAAAAAATTACCAACCTTGTCAAAACTCCGTTTCTCCCTGCAGCATTTCAATTATGTGCAGAGCGTCACCGGTTTATTTTTTGAACTTTATTAATGCGCACGGCGGTGGCGTAGTTTGTGCAGTTCCTTATCCTCGTCGCTTCTTTTTTACTACCTCCCCCTCCCCCTCCAAGTTTGTGGCAACAATATGACGATGGTATTGTGTATTTTTCCTTGGGTGAAATTATATGAAAAAAAGTTTCCTCCTCTTATCCGTGTATCCGTATATTTTTTAAAGAATTTAGAAATATAAAATTAAGAAAATATAATGTAAATTATATATTATAAGTGTGATACCAACGCGAAATTCCCCGTATCCCATTTGCTGAAGTTAATTTTCACATCTCAAAATGAACTTTGTAATCTACAAAATATATGGTTGTATGGTTATAATGTATAATATTTAAAAAAAAAAAACAAAGCTATAGCAAAACAATATTCAATAAGCTTTACCGGTTATGAACATACGGTGATATATTTTAATTGCACGAACACATTAATAACAATAAGTCGACAATAATATTTTTTTCGGGTTTCAATATTATTCTCGTAATCGTATAAATTTGTTCGAAAACGCGTTACCACAAAACAGGAAAAAAATACCTTTCAAAGCGATTATTTTACGAATTAACAGTTTTGTGTAGAGATACGTTATGCGCATTATGATTTATGATGCAGCGTGTCTCACGCGGCATTGCCCGTGTTAGTTTTGAACGAAAGCATTTATTGTTGTATCATTTTAAAACGTGTTACCCTGCGACTCCCCGTTTACACGCCTATCACAGTTCCGTTGTTGTGCGTTACATAAAAATCGAGTGAAACAAATATAATGGAATAAATCGTAGGTACTAATAATATTATTAGTTTTATTGTCAGCGACAACGAAACCGTTGTTGTCATAAATCAACTGAAAAAATTTAATTTTTGTCTCCGGATGTCTACGTCATACTGGCTCTCCACATTTCAGCCCGATCTATCCAGTGGCTTGAGCTGCGCGTTGATAAATCAGTCAACCACGTTTTTCTTTTATATATAATAATCTGTTTTAGTTATATCTAGATTTCCATTTAAATAACATAGGAAAGTAACGTGCTTTCAATCAAATCACATTCACTCATTAAGTACGGGAGTTACGAGATTGTACATAGTATTTTTGTAAAAAATCTATAAAAATTGAGGTTTTATAACTTTTTTATTCATATTATAAAGTTGAATAACTCAGCCACTGATCTATAACCAAGGACTGATAGCAAGGTATTTTCAATACTTACAAAATGAACCTTGTTTGAACAATTTTGATCAAAAAGTAGCTGATTAATACAATTTTATAATTTGAAAAAAAAGTTATAAAAACTCAATTTTTATAAATGTCTACAAATAAGCTATTCTTATAACAGTAAAATTTTACTTGATTCCAAGTGAATCTTAAGTATTTTTTTGAAATCTTTAAGAAAAAAATTTTTTCAAACTCGTAACTTTTGAACTTAATGAGAAAATGTGTTTTAATTAAAAGTATCGTTACTTTCCTATGTTATTTAAATGGAAAAACAAAACATATGATGAGCAAATTCTAAATTTTTTTTTTTTTGGGCTCACATTTTTTTAGTAAGTATAAGACCATAAGAAAGCAATTTCCAGTCTTAATTCTAAAAAAAAAAAAGTTAAAAATCAAAACAACTTAATATGTATAAATATCTAAGAAGATCAAAGATACAAAGATACTTTACAATTTAATTACCTACATAAAGATAAAAAACAATCAAGAACTTTCTTATTTAGATTAAAAGAAGAAACAAAATTGTGTTCATTACCTATCATAAGACACAGAGTGCTAAAAGTAGTTTAAGTGTACCAGATTTAGTACACTTATAAATATCAAAAAGAACAACGCTTTGTTACTGTAATACTTACAAATTAATTTATTTAACCATATTAATATAAATGAAATATTTCACCTATGGTTTCTAATAAATATATAAATTACGATTAAAAAAAATTTACCTAAAAAATGTAATTATCTGATAACTTATTTTCTAGATGAGTTAAAATATAAAAATATACCTATTCAGATAATAACTTATCTAAATCAATTATTATTTAGCTAAAACACAAAACTATGCCCGAGTTCAATTACAAATAAACGCATTTTCACTACATTGCCTGTTTGATAGCCTGAAACGGCAAATGTTCTTTTAATAATCGTCTATAATATTAAATAATACAACTACTATATTAAAATACTCAATATTATTTCGTTTCGATGTACAATACACATTCCTAACTGATATTGTTGTCGTATAGGTAATCTTCTGAAGACTGTAAAAAACAAAATACGACCTTTATTGAAATTTTTATGGAATTAAAAAAAAAAAAGGTGACGAAACTACAATATTATTAGGTGGGTGTCTGTTTGGTACAACTGTAGAACATACCCCGAAACGTGTAAACACTACAAATGCGCAAAATAATATTAGGTATAAAATGATTGTACGGAAAAAAAGTCCGTACAAAAATATTGTGTGCGTACTGTATCGCTAATGTTCGAAACGTTTGTCAATAGATACCTAGGTGTCATGTTTTATTCATCGCGCTCCCGCTCCCGCTCTCCCGATGCGCGCCCATTTAGATGGAAAAAAGAGAGTTCAATAATAAATATTAAACACATTATGCGCATTTTCAATATCAAGAAATTACAAGAAAATTAAATTGTACACATTTAATAACACACAAATTTTTGTGCCATGGTTTTTAAAAATTGTCATCAAAATTTGAAATTTAAACGCTTAAAAAGAAAAAAAATGTTTTATATTTATATAGTTCTATAGAACGAATAACGATTAACTATGTAAACAATTTTCAGATATTTTTGAGTTTTCAAAAAAATGTTAATCCTTATAAAACAAAAATAACTAAAATAACTAAAAAACCGTCTGAATGTTTTGAAAATTGTATTGTACCGCATCTAGAAAAGACTAACATAACTATTCTAGAACAATACAAGATGCTTACGATTGTTTTTAACTAAATTTAAACAAAAATTGTAACAAAAAAAAAAAACAAAATCGAAAATAACAAAAACCAGAATTATTAAAATATTCCCGATTTTTTTCCGGATTTTCCTTAATTATTGATAAAACTATAATGCACTAGCTCGAAATAATTTTCTACTAAGAACTACTACTAGTGTTGATGATTGAAAGAAGATTTTTAGTCGAAAATTTGTTCACAGACGGGAAAAACACATCATACACGCCTTGCTTAGCCCAAATCTAAAAAAAAAAAATTGATTTTGACGAAAACCTGCATTACGTTTACATTTCTCAACGTTTTTCCCCATTATTAGAAAAATTCCGTGAAGTTCAACATAATTACCTTCTCAATGCACTATGACTAGATTCAAATTCTACAAAATATTTCTTGGTAAGTTTTTCACTGGGGTCAATTTTCCGGTCGAAAACTTGTCAACAGAAAAAAATTCGAAAAACAAAGCACATTTTATCATAAATAGTAAACCTGAAATACAATTGACTATAAAAATGTAAAATATTAAAATTATTATCATTGTTGTTAGGTCTGAACTAAAATTGCTTAAAAAACTGTCAACCATAAGTCATAGAAAAATGCGACACATACGCGAACCTTTTTAATTCTTTGTGTATTGACTTTGAAAAAAAAAAAAAACCGTTTAGAAAAACGAAACTAGGACAATGACGATTTCGTTAGCTACTGCAGTAGTATATACAATGGCTTTTTTTTTTTTTTTTTTAACATTATATGAAATAATAAGATATTTTTCATAGAAAAAGAGCAGTGCAGAAGTTCGCTTTTTATTATTAAAAAAAAAACTGGTATTCAACAATGGCTTTCACGCGTATATAAAACATTTTAAAAAATACAATAATTTATCTCAAGACACAATAGATAAAAAAAAAAAAAAATGATTATAATATAAATGCTTGTAAACAATTATTTTTTTTTTAAAAAAAGACATACAAGAAATATTATTATAATACCCATATTATATTATTTTTTATTTTTCATTTTTAAATAAAGTATTCGCGTATACCGACCTTTAATGAAATTTTAAAAATTAAATCTGACTATTGATCGTACGGATTTTTTTTTTTTTTATTATTATTATTATTAGAGATAAGTTTAAATAGGATACGTAAAGTCGGGTTTCTTTATAATACAACGTCGAGATATTTTAAACTTTATAGCGATGACCCGAAGGGCAAGCAACTAAGAGGTGTTTAAAAATTTTACCCGGTCACAGATTGGAAAATTAATTGCATACGGCGAAGTTTTCAAACAACTTATTTTAATGGCCCTAAATAGAAAACGAAGTAATAACTTTCAATAAATCACCTGACCTACAAACAGAATATTGGTAAACTGGTATTAGCATTAAATTAATTTAAATTTAATAACTCCCTACCCCTTCTCTTATAGTTCTTTGGATGCGTATTTTTATTTCTTAATAGAACAATCATTTAGAACTCGGTTAATACTCATTATAATTTAATCGTACAAGTGCAACGCGAATACTTTTTACCTTTTTTTTTTTCAAACGTATTTAATTTTCTTCGGATTTATCAAACATTCAGCCGTTTTGTTGCTTATAAATTGTACTGCAATTCGTCTCGATTAAAATCCAAATATTCAAATGCTATCCACGGATTCTCGCAAAATACGTTTAAATTTCAATTTATTGAAATCAACGTGAAATTAATATTTTCGGGTTGTTCGAGGAGAATGTATGTGCCAAAAAAAAAAAAAAATACAAAGGGTAAATACCGCATTCCTATAATAAACGGTCTACATCACGTGATAATTTCAACGCCGTCGTATTATCTTACCCGGCTATATAATTATTGTATATTTTCTCGACACCAATTTCGGATTAAAATATACACGGGAAGACGGCAAAAATACAAGTGCATAAAGGGCAAAAGGGCATCGTGGGTGAGCATTGTTAGCGTCACAATCCCTCCGTGCTCTTGAGTATTTTTGTTTTTTTTTTTTTTACATCGCCGTCTCCGGATCTCGAGCGAGATGTAAAAGAACCGTGTATTATTATATTATATTATATAGGTAGGTGGCTGCCTCAAACGTTTTTTATTTTTTTTTTTTTTTGCTATCAATAAAACGCGCTTTCTCGCGGCTGCAGTTGCAATAATAAAACGTAATTTGTACACGGCGTTAAATTCGGATAGATTTTTTTATTTTATAAAATCGTATTGGCGGATACCGCTATAATTAATAACTAATGGCCTATGAAATTAAATCTCGTATAGCTGCAGGTTTTGGATACAGTACCAAGTCGCAAGTTGAATTTCGCGCGAAAATTTCACCTCGGACTTGGCAACAATTGTACACTTAATTAGCGCAATAGTAGTTTGTTATCGCGTAGGTAGATAAACAATAATGTATATTTGTTTAAACGACACTGCAGTTCAAATAGCATAATAGACTACACTAATACTACTGCAGTGTAAGTAATACAACATCGTTTTCCCATTAGTTTAATGCGATTTAAATAATATTAAATAACATTTTGTACTAAAGGTTCAAAAAAAGGAAAATACGTTTTACCCGCGAATAAACGATATGTTACTTTTGACATGGTTTTCAAATTATGGTCATAATATCGCTTTTAAATAATATTCTACCGGACACTGCGTTTTAATAATATTTTATTTTATTGATTTTGTACGCACAAAGCATCGTCGATGAAACGACGAAGAACTGACGAACGTGGTTTAACAAAGAGTTGTAATACGATATGTAACATATAGCAAGTATCATCAACGCACAAAGGGTACAATAATATTAGGTCATATAATAAGGTCAGAAGGAAACAAAACAGTTAGGTGGGGAGGGGGCAGCAATGGAATGGGAAACCTAAGGGAAAAGATCCGATGAAAGCCCAGAAAAAAGCTAATCGACACGTGCTGGAATATTTAAAATGGTTAGTATTTGAAAACTAAAGAAAGCGACAGTTCATAATAGAAACATGGAGCTAAGTGTAATAATAAGCAGACCAAGAAGAAGAAGATAATTGACTCCCTCAGTACAAGCTTGGCTTATAGGGGGTGCTGCAATTTAATTTATGTGTAGTATCTATTAAATATTTTTGAAAATATAAACTATAAATAAATTTTTTAAAACGCATAAAAGTAAACTTGAAATCATTTTTCGAAATTTAAATTTCGTAATTTAGATATGTATAATAATAATATATTATAATTGAATTTACAAGTGGTAGAGCCTGAAGGCAGAAATTATAAATTTTAAATTATTATTTTGTATTTTTTGAAAAAAGAAATCACTCAAGCGCCATATTAAAAAAACAATATGTTCTTCATCCCAAAACAAGCTGGTTTATGACCAACCGATATCTCCGACAAAATATATCCAATAAAAAAAATCTCCAATAGAAATAATTCTTTAAAAGAGATTCTCTAGGATTAATATAATTATTATCTTTTTAGTGCATTTTTTATTAAATAATATAAATGTTAATTTGTGTATGTATAAATATTCCTATTTCTTTGGTCATTTCTAATAGTATTTGTGTATATGTTGATCATTAGATTATAATGAAATGAATTAAAAGTAATACGATTGAATTTAAGTTTTTGGTTGCAATTTTATTTAAGATGAGATTATGCATGGGTTGAATGTATCGCTTGAAAAGATATTTATCAATTTTTTTTTTACTTCAAGGTTTTCCACTGGTGATATTTTTGCGGAAACATTTCGAACCAAAATCATATTTCATATTTCATATTACATTTAGAGAAAAAACCTAAAATTTCAATATTTTCTAACATTTCATCTCACACTGATTGATTTGTGTTTGTCATATATACATATATATACAATATTATAGTCTTTATATTTGTATGTATAATAAAATCAATAGAGTTTAAACTTTTCGTAGAATATTACTATATTACATTATTGTTCCGGTTGTTATTGTTGCAGAATCCAAAACGGACACGTATTCGACTACGGACGGGCGTTTGTTTTGTACACTCGTATTTGCAGTATAGATTCGATATCGTATAATATTATCATTGTATCGTTCGACGTGCTTTGTCGCGTTACAGTAATAAATAGCGGATTATTACTCAGACCGTCTGTCCTCCTTCTATTATTATATCGCAACAGACACTAGCAATAAAACGCGACCGTTCACGCGGATTACGATATTACAAAATATTATATTATACGTGTGCGTCCATACGTCGTTTTATATGGAATACCGAAATAGCCGTTCCTGATTTTTTTTTTTTTTTTTTTTTTTAATTAATTAATTTTATTTCATACATTTACTTCTTTTGACGTACCTAATATTACAGATCTATACGAAATTTCAGAACAGAAACAAACACATATTTATGAAAATTTTAAATTTATAAAGATGTTAAATTAGGTATTTGAGAGGACACCACACCAGCATCTACTGTTTCAGTCCAATTACCGAGCAACATGCAAAACGATGTTTCCGCAGACTGTAGTAAAACCAGTTTAATTTTTATTTTAGAGCGAAAGTACCTATTATAAAATTTATAGAAAAGAATATTTCGAAGAAAACCTCATCGGATTTTTCTATTTTATAAATATGCAGGACAGTATAAAAAGAAAAGATAACCTTACTATTTTTTTAGTTTCCTAAATAACTGTTACTTTTTTAATAGTTCGTGATTTTTTTTTTTTTTTTTTGGATAAATCGATTGTAAGCCAATTAACACCAATTAGCATTAATGTTTTTCTTTTTTTTTTTTCTGTTAACTAACATTTTATGCTGAATCAGTAGAAAGATTTTGAAATTTACTTTGTAGTCATTTCAGGTATTCCAAAGCCTACGTATTCATACATAATGCAAATGCTGAGCTCAAACACAAAACAAGGTCTAATGTATTTTATAATTTTTCGTTATAAATCACCCTCCTGAACAATAAATTTTACAAATTTAGTCAACACCTTTATCTGTTAATCTCTTAAATTCGGACCTTTTATCAAACGCTTTTAAACGAGTAATTTTTGAGCAGGAAATTATTTTTAAATTTAAATAACGGACTCGGTGATTTGATCTCTTGTATTAAACCTATACTCCAACGAAAAGCTACTGTGTTAAATTATGTGTATAATAAACATAAAAGTTATTATAGTTTTTCAAAGATTTGTTTTTTCTCAGTAAAACAGTTTTATGGTTATTAAAAATACTTTGATTTTTCAAGTAATACCGTAAAAGACGCAAAATTTCCTGACCGAGATGTTTTATTTTGGAAACATTTTATTCGACATTTTCTACAATTCACCTCTTAGGTTCTTTTTTTGTTGATTCCTGGATTATCTTAGCAACAAGAGAAAAACTCTACTAATACTACTCCACTCATAATCGTTTTTCGTTTGCAATGATTTACCCTTGCAGTATATAAACTAATTTTCCTTACTTTTTAACTACCCGTCTACAACAGTGGCTTACCCATTGTGAGAAGTAAATCTGGCTAAAAAAAGCTAATTAAATAATAATTTAGAAAGTTGAATAACGTTTTTAGATTCAGAGTAGAGCAATGATGTTATATTATAATTTTCTGAATTTTAATGCATTTTTTTTTCTCTTTAGTTAGCTAAAATCATCTAAAACTTACAAATCCTACTTTATTAAAAAATATGCGGATTTACCACACATATTTTATGGAAACATAAGAAACACTAGTATAATAACATAAATAATAAGATACACTTCAATGGAAACATTTTTTGATAAATTCTCAATGGTTGACAAAAAAATTAAAAAAATGACGATACGTTTTAAATGAGATCTATACGGAAATCAAAAATCTGAAATTTTGAACGTAGACGGTTATGAACGGAGGTTCATGACATCTCATCAGATTTATAAATTTGTATACGGGGTTTAAATTAGAGTTTTGGATTTTTTGTTCCTGGAAATTCCACTGGAAATCATTTATAATAATTAATTATCATCCATATACAATGTTTTTAGATTGCGCTTAGAGGCAAACTCTCATAGTTTTCCTTAGTAACTTTTAATTAGCTGCACTGTCAGTTGCAGCGTTATGCATAGAAAAACTAGTTTTTCGAACGTCAACATAAATTAATAAAATATTCTTATAAAAAAACAACTTTCAATAATATTATGTAATGATAAAAAAAAATTAATTTTTAATCGTTTCTTTGACTTTCAAAAGTTGACCTTTATACAATTATTTTCTCTCACTTGAGAATTAGATTATTAAAAAAAATAACGAGCTGACATACTTCGCACAATGAGTGAGCCACTGTTGTAGGTAAAAAGTTGAGAAGGTAGAAGGAAGATTTAATGAATATCTGTACGCAGATATTAATCATTGCTACCAAAAAACGATTCTGAACGGAGTTCGGTTACACGTGTTTTTACAGAATCTAAAACTTAATGAATGATTATTCTAATTATAATAATACGGCAGATTATAGGAATTAGGTATACAAAACTTAAAATATCCGCAAAGTTGGGGTAACTCCAATTCGAAGAACACGCTGTATACATCATAAATACAATATAATATTTTCACAAGTCACTATATTAACTGCAATGGCATTGATAAAGTTAAATAATTTCCGTAGCAAAAACCTCTGATATCTATATTATAGTGCACGGGACACGACGAAAACCTTCTAAAATTATGGTTTATGGCCGGAAAGTTACCGTGGATCGTTTGATATGACATATACAGGGTGTTTGTTTAATGGCCACAATGGTAACCTGTTAGTCATACTTATAGTATAGGGTGAAAAATGACGACGGGTTTTTTTTTTTTTTTTTTACACTCGAACTCAAATTAATGACTCGTTGATTATTACCAAAAACTATAAATAACATATATCACGTAGAGATTCGCTGCAAATCTCTACTCTAAAATGATGTGTCACGTTGTTTTTCAAGAGATGAAAATGAACTTATCATTTTAACGTACAATTTCACCAGTGCAATCTCTTGCGATCCCCCAATTACGCTACTGATGAAGAATACAAGACGATAGAAAATGTGAATGCGTTGAAGAATAAAATACAAACCATCTGTTTGTAGTCCACTACTACCAATTACTTGCAGAAAGAAAGATTTTATGAAAATAACTTATATCTAAGACAAAGCAACTCAAATTGCTGCTTATTGGAAAGGAAAGAAGATGGAAAAACCAACAAAAAATTAAAAAGAAAAAAGAGTATGTACGAGTAAATCCGAAATATCGACTGAAACAAAAAAAAAAAAATAAACAGAAGAAACGGATATTATTTTTCCAACCTACTGGACATATTTTTAAATTATAAGTGCACGTTATTTACCGATTTCCAAATAAAATTCCAAAAGGCATACAATACAAGGACACCCTGTACATAATTATGTTCATTTCACGACGTCCGATATTGCGATCTCTCTGTGAAAGAACGGAGTAAGATTGATATTGTTTTCAAGTGCTGCCCAGGAGAAAAAACAAAACGTCCGGAGAATATTATAGAAAATCCTGGAGCCTTGGAAAATCGGATTGAGACCCATCGTCTACTGACCGGTGGTGGCCGTAAAAAATAGTATTATTATCGTTCCTCTCCATCACTTCCCCGTATACATCCAATTGACCTAAGGGGGAAGACGGGAACTCGTTTCCAGGAGAAACCATAAAAACGAATAGTGAAAAGGATTTGTTATATTATAATATAGCGATGAAGATGTCCCGCAATAACCATGGGACCCTTCGTCTGGCGCTCCTTTACTGCTTCCGATTTTCCGAGTTTTCGCGTTACACCCGACGACTACACACAATATTATAATAACGTTATTATTATTATCAACATAAGCCTTCGAAGTATTCACTGCGTAATATTACGCGCAGAAAACGAGCGTAATAATAATAGGAGGAAAAAAGCACACAGCTAAATCGGCCTTGGGTTTTGCATGCATAGATAATGAATGATATTGTCAGTACTTAATACTCATAAAGTGTTTTTTTTTTTTTCAGTGTTGCATAAAGATAAATTTAAAAATATCTACTTAAATTTACAGAATAATAAATAATCTAGATTAAGATAAAATACACGTAACAATTCAATTACCTGTCTAGATAAAGATTTTTATCTTAAATTATGAACAATCGTGAACAATTTTACATCTAATTAAAAAGAGATGGTTTTGTTCTTACACTATATACACAACTTGTTAACTATTTATATGCTTAGAAGTATACCAGATTTGGTACATGTCTAAATTTCAAAATGGTTATGTGATTAATGTAATACTTAATAATTTGTTTATTTAAGCCATATGGTTATTAATTTAATATGTTAACTTTTATTTATAATAAATATATGAATTGAGATCAAGATAATACAATTATTAACGAATTTCTCCTTTATCCACATACAATAAAAAATAAAAATATTACTATCTAGATAATACACCTCGCTGTTATACTCTAACTGCATCAATATTGTAATACGATGCATTTACATTCTAAACGCGAAATGATATAATAGTCTTAATGATATACGCGCAAATAACAATGCGAAACGCATTATTATTTTCGTGTGCGTGTACTTAAATATACCTGCAGTACAAAATATACGAGTACCTAGACGACGGCGACACATTAATTTCCGTTTTTATTTACGGTAATGTTTTATACGATCAAATATTTTTTTTTTTTCAACCGTCAGGAAAAAAACATTTTCTCGAACGTACAAAATTATACATATAGGTACGGATTAAAAACTCTTGTAAAAAAGAAGAAAAAACTGAAAACTCGATCACAGTAAGTTGTGTCGTTTGTTTGCATGTGTGTGTGTGTGTGTGTGTGTGTGTGTTTTGAAAAAAAATGCCTTTACTTTATACGCTCTTAACGAGTCACTGCCACGCAATATAAAATAGATTCCTTGAATGGAGTAAACGTACGAGTAATTCAATAGAAACATTATTATTTTAATCTCACAGCATCGCAGCACTTAAAATCATAAATTGATAAATCATTCAAGAAAAAAATTAATTTTAAAATATTTAGATAAATATTTATATAATAGAAACATAATTGCTAGAATAAGTTTCTAAAAGACTATAGAAAGTACCCATAACAAGTTAATTATTTAGAAAAAGCTATATAATAAACTACTTATTGTATCTAATGGCTAAAAAGAAATTAAAGATGATAATTCTGTTAATAATATAAAACTGAGTATGTCATATCAGGTACATGTTTAGACATCAAAAAAAAAAAAAACCATTGATTTAACTTAATAATTTATTTATTTAACAAACATGTAAGTAATAATACCAATATCAATTAAATATTTTACGCATTATTTCTATAATAAATACATAAATTATAATACAAACGATTTATGTATCTAGATAAAAATGACGATTCGGTTATTTATTTCAGATAACTAATTTCTCATTTATCTATAAATAAGATAAAATATCAAAATATACCAATCTTGATAAATTGATGCACGTTATTTAATTCGAAAATATTTTTTTGAATTATGTATTGCTGATGAGGCATTGCTAATACCACTGCGATGGATGAAAATTCCTCATATTTTTAAGGTAAATGTGAAATAATCGGAGCATTTCGCTCGCCAAATAAATGTTACTGTAATAAGTATTGGAAATCTAAAAATATTTTTCAGATAAAGTCCCATTTGGAGAAAAAAAACCACGTACTTTATAACGGTACGGCAAAAAATATTTTATGGGAAGTGGGGTGCAAACATTTCAATGAAACTAACAGTTTCTTCGCTACACTCGAAATCTAAAATAATTAACCAACAAAAATTAATTCGATGAGAAAACTCACGATAGGGCTGCAGTTATATTCTTACGCATTATATTCCGAATATGGATTTACCTATTACATCGGTAAATTTAAAAATACCTTTTTTTTCCAGATACTATCAATTTCACAATCTAACCTTTCGTGCATACACATAATTTGTTCGAAACTTACATACGTTTTAAGGATATTGCTTATTTCTTTTTAATTATATTATACGTATATACGTCTTACATGTATTAATATAAAGTGTTTAAAAAAAAAAAAAAAAACATTTTACAAATACGTGAACGCCGTTTACCCGTCGATCCTCCACAGGATTCCGTGTGTGTAAACACCGACGGCACATTCGATTTAAATATTATTTATCGGTAAAAACGCTGTACCGTCTGTACCTAAGTGCCTACCTAGTAATCTCAACTACCGAGGTTTTAAAATAAGAAAGTATTGTATTCCCGTCCATACATATTGACGGGTTATTGTGGATTTTATAGTTGGTTATATATATACACATAATAAGATTATACTGGGTAAAATTCGGTGAAATGTTATTTTTATATTTTTTTTTTAACGAAAAACCCGATAAATAAAACGGATATAATGGTTAAATGGGTATTATAAAACAAAAATATAATACAATCTTTTATCTAATCGCACACTGTACTTTAACCGTCGTGTGCGCACATATATTATGCGCCATAGCGTGTTTCAATTATTATAATTTTAAATTTTACTTATGCGTAATGTGCATTAGGGCAAAAGCAATATTTTCAACGCCAACATTCATAAATAAAAAATAGAAAAAAAGCGATAATAATGAAATAATTAATATCTATTATACGGTCGTCATAAAACAATACGTTCGTTATAATAAAATTATTATTCCGTCCGATACACAAATTGATTACCTGTATGGAACGGGGCGGCACGGGTATACGCGAGAGACTAGTAATATAATATGATATGAGGCGCGCAAACGGGACAACAATCATATTTTATTAATCTGTTATAATTTAATGAAATATTTAAAAATATTATATTATAATATCTGTTAGTAAAATGTATGCGTATGGAGCAGTGAAGCGTTCTGGTGGAAAAACGATTTGCGGTGGAATTAAATATTTTGCAGTACCTAACACATGCGTTTTGCACACACTATACAACGCATTTATAAACGATTAAAGAGGATTTCACACCCGCATCTACTGTCGTACAACATGGCAAATTCACATTCAGCAAGGACAATCATTTTGTGCGGTTTGTTTTAATAGTAAAATTAATTGGCCTAGTATCAAACTTAAAGATGAGAAAAGCAAATAACCCATTGATTTTTAAGATTATTTAAATTTTTAACGAGATTTGACCATGTGAAATATCACAATTTAAAATTCCTTGTATCACATTTAAAAATTTAAATACCGAATAATATTGTGTTTAAATTTGATAATATACTCAATTTACTCTTCTATAGTCTTATAATAAAACTAACATCAAATTGTCGCCCCTGCTAAATACAAATTTTACGCGTCGTACATTTGTAAGACGGAGCAAGCACCAGGGGGGCCGTAGCTAGGCACCGACATGACATTAGAATAGCTTATGAAAAATTAATAATTTAATCAAACATTTTCCACAATGATCTACAAGAAAAAAAAAAAGCTCTTAAAATAAATGTAGAAAGCATTTTTAAATTATTAAACACTCTAGTTGGTAATTTTACTCTCCGTAAATATACGAGAGAAGGTGCTAAAAATTTAATTTAATTTAATATTTATATGTTTGCCTAACTTGAGGAATGATAAATTAAGTCAAATTGATCGCTTCAATATTTTACAGCCATCAAAGTGTCAAACAGTAGAATAGACGTGGTATGTGAAATAATGAATTAACTGATTGAATCAATTTAAAAAATGGGAAACAATGACTTTATAAATACATTAAATGAAGCAATGGATATGGAAAAACGTTTGAATATTTCAATAGAATTCAGTGAGAAACGTAAGAATCCAACTACTCCAAGAAAACATTTCTGTGAAGTTATCAATGTATGAATCAATGTGAATCTCTGAAAACAGAAATACAACAATATAGGCGCAAATTCAAATCATTGCTAGGGGCGCGACCGGTCCTCTCTACGGCACAGGATAACACATGCGAGTGTGGCGTCCTTTAACAATTTAAGTGAGAAACTATATTATTTTAAAGAAATAATAATGTGAAAACAGCGAAAGAAACTCAAGGTTATAATAATATATTATCAAACTCTTGTTATAAATCAGAAAAATAGGTCGGAGTTGCGTGCAACAGAAGATAAATGAAGCAGCACGGTGTATCTGTTAAATATTTTATAGGAAAAAATGTGCAAGACTACAGTAATACCAAACAACATCTTAAACTTATTATATTTCGACACGAATATTTTACGATTAAGCCGTGCGCACTTCGTATGATCACTGGGATAGGCAACTGTAATAGGTGAAACACTAAAAATGTATACAGAGTATCTAATTTAATTATTTATATATGATTGCAATAAAAAACCGATTTCAAGCGGAAACTGAATAGGTAATATTAGTCGTGTTTTTCCTTTTGTATACCATCGGGGATTAACAAAAATAAAACCGTATTATCGAAACTATCATTATCGGTTTTTAAAATTGACAAAAACAAATCTGTAAGGAATCTAAAATGTTTATTTCAAATAAAATATCATCTCTTATGAAAAAAAATCGCATCGTTTAGGAAAATCGAAACATTTTTACTAACTCTCAAAAGTGTTTACCGAAATATGAAATACTATTGTGTACATGCGAGCTTCTTCGCTCCACTCATAATCAAAAATTGACGAGGTATTCGTCATAAGTATAATAATTCTGTATGAAATATTCATTACAACGTCCGAATTTCGTGGGTCATAACGAAATCGCGAGAAATTATGCACCGAAAATAATAAAACTTATTTATTGTAATATAAATTACATTGTCTTTGTGTAATGTATATTGTATACACTGCGGCATAGTACGAATGCCAAAACGCGAAAATGTTCGCTTTTTCGTTTTTATATATATATATATATACTACCACAGCACTTAAAAGCGAATATTTATGTCGGTAATTATTTTAAAGCCACCGAAAAACGAGTTGGGAATATTAATATTACCTACCTCGCCGAATTGTTTGCTGTTTCGAAAATTTAAAAAGAGTTGTGCACCCGCTTTGTACGGTTTTAATAATTGTAATAAAACCAAATATATCAGCTGCAGTAGGTACCTATCAGATTAGTCGGTATTAAAAAATAATAATAATCGAAAATTATAAAAATATAGTCGAGTATCTACAGAAAAAAAAAAAAACACCCGTGAGCAGTAGAGCTCGATCACTAGAGTACGATTTTTCCCCGTTACTTATTTTGTGTAATCGAAATATTCTATGCAAAACAACAAATATCCGAATACTATAATGGTACAGTATTTTATACTGTACTGCTGCACAACTTCCAAGCAATTTCAAAATTTGATCTCAAAAATAATAAGGCGTGGGGATTGAAAGTTAACCGCGCAATAGGCACATCCTTGATAGTAACCCCATGCATATATACAATTTAATCTCCTAGGCTTCATTTGGGAATTATATTTGGGTATGTAGGGGTGTATAAAGCTAAAAGAACACTCAACTCAACTTCAACCCAACTTTTATCACTCCAATCCGCCAATAAAATCATCCCCGAGTTTAAAGTCATTTGATCCACTATGATCCATATGAGCCACTATAAATTTCCAAGAGTCTAACGTTAAGTCATGTGATATTATATTAATTGTACCTTTTTCCGAAACAAAAAGTACACACGTCTCAAGTCATAGTGACTTAAGATATTTAGATTTTCAATAGGTACCTGAAACATGTGTTGGAACATACGTCATGCACTTAGACCAAAAATTAAAGGAAAAAAATTGCAAAAAAGACACAATTATAAAAAAAAAAATGCCAAAAGTTGACACAACAAACATTCTTTTCGAGGAAAATTCGACAAAAAATATCAGATGTACAATGCCGATGAAATTTCTCTCGCCGACACTACACACTGCAGGTTATATTGAAATTATTTTCAAATCAATATAAAACGTATATTTTATCCTCGAATTAAATTAAAAGTATTAAAACTATTTCTTTTTTTTTTAATTTTGTATAATTTCTAATATAATCAAACCACAGAAGAACACAAAAATAATATATATTTATTTTTTTTTTCAATTATTTTAATCGAGGTTTTTTGAAAAAAAATAAAGATTATAATAATTACTCTTAACGGGTATTATAATCTTAACAGTTTACTGTACACTATATACAATATAATTTTATTTTAAATATTTTCTGATGCAAATGTTTTTGTGTGTGTGTGTGTGTGTGTGTGTGTGTATGTGAGTGTATATTTTAAATAAAAAAAACATTAAAACGCCATGACGGGGGAAAAAATTAATAACCACAACAATAATCCAAAATCCAAGCTTTAATAAAAAACAGATTAAAACAAAAATAGGTTTATTTTCGAGATTTGTTAATATATTTTGTACGCGCTATTCAAATAAAATAAGATTTTTCTTAAATATGCACGTATTATTTTCGTTCCACAAAATTAAAACGCCATTTTAACGATGGTTAAAAATATACAATGAAAATTATAATGTTATAAGCACAAGTTATAACTGACGGAAGGTAGATTTTGAAAGCATTCACTTTGTTTTTTTTTTTCTACTAGTTGAAAACATAGCTTTATCGGATATAATTAGGGTCCGGTTTCATATGCTGTAAAAAGGAAAAAAATACTAGATAAAAGTGCCAAAACATCTCTCTTGCGAAATGATACCCATATCAAATAAAGATGAAAAAAAAACGGACACACTTTGCATGGCGGGTGGGCTACTGTTGTAGGTGAGAAAAGGCGAATTTAAATTATATCTTTACGATTCGGAACGAAGTTTCTTTTACCCGTGTACGTAAATTCTCCGTTTTTCCCAATTATTATGGAAACCTCTTAGATATTCAAAAAATTATCTTTTTAAAAGATCCAGATATAATTTTCTTTCACAAAAGGTACTATACTTGAAAATTAAAGCGAGATTTCTGGTAACAAAATTGTTCACAGCATAAAAAAAATAATAATAATAAACATCATTGTAAAACCAATGCATAATTCCTCACTACGCTCCAAATCTAAAAACAATAAAATATACAAAATAAAATAACATAAATCTATAGTTCCAGGGAAGAAAGTATTAAATCAATTTTTATAGTTTTTAATACAAGAAAATTTAATTTTAAAAAGAAATAAAAACCATTCTTAACGAAACACGGTTCTGAGGGACGCTTATTATAAAATATACATGTTTTGAAATTTTCGTTTAACTTTGATCTTAAAACTCTTAAGTTTTCACATTTTGATGAAAATCGTAAATATTATGGCATTTCGAAACATTTTTAACTCAACTTCGCTGAGAATTGTAATTTATAGCAATGGTTTATCGTTGCTTACAGATGATAAAAATGAAATAACTTTATGTAGCTCACCTAACCAACTTGATACTTACAACAGTGGCTCACCCATCTGCAGTGTCAACTCCTTTTTTTTTATTTTACTATTAGATAAAATTTATAATTGACCTCCTGTTAAATTATGAAAACCAAAAAAAAAAAAAAAATGTAAAATGCCAAGAAATAGCTCTATTATGATTTTTTTTTTATATACTGTAAAAAACTTTTCTACCAGAAATCTTGCTCGGATTCGTCTATTATAGCACCTTTTCTGAAAAAATTGTATCTAATTGATACTTTAAAGAGGTCAATTTTTATATAAAAGAAATTTCGTTTATCGTTGCGTTCGGATATAAATGAAATTCTCCTCTATATCCTACCTTCAAAAATCCAACTTCTCACCTACAACAGTGGCCCACCCATCGTGCGAAGTATGTCTGTTTTTTTTATTTTGATTTCTTAGGCTAATTTTGGATCCTATTGCTTTTTTATTATTTTTTTAAATGTATTTCAAGTACAGTAATTACAATATATTTAAAAAAAAAAATGGTTTTATAGAACTGTTTAATAGATATTTAGATAACTTCGTTGTTTGATTTTAAATGTTTTTTTAGTCATTTTATATAGTGTTTACGGTGAGTTGAAAAAAAAAAGCGATTATATTGATACTCTCATTCCAAATTAATACAAAATCCAATTTAAATTAAATACTTTTAAAGTGATTGGTGTCAGATAGTGCATAATTTAGTCAATATTGACCTAAAAGTCAGACAAAACGGTTAAAATTGAGTTTGATGAATTTCAATTTTAAAAATGTATTATGATTCTTAAGAATCAGGACTAACTATAGCATATGTTCAAATAATATGTTTAGTTATTTTACAGGAAATTGTCAGAAAAATTATTGAATGGAAATTGTTCAAAATTAAACTTAAAGTATTTTTCCTTTGACTTATAATAAAAATATATTGAAGTGGGAATTAAAATATAAAAAATAATTCTAACGTACTCTAGTAAAAAACCAAAAGAATTATAATACGCGTTTTTAAATTTAAATCCATCAAATACAAAACGTCCTATAGTTATACAACATTATTAAAAATCATCGGAAAGTAGATTAATGGTAAAGTCTTATAATTTATTTAATTTATCACTGTTTACATGGTGGAGACTTAACAAATTATTAAAAAAAAAACGTGTAGTTTTAGTTAAACCTATACTATAAAAAAAAAACAATACCGTCGATATTTTTTTAATAAATTATACGTTACAGCGTGCACAATGCGCAATAATGATAATTATTTTATTGATAAAAAAGTTAAGCAACTAAGTATATTATAGATATTGATCGCAAGTCCAAAGTCTGTACAACTAGTTTATTCAGTAGTTTATTATATTGTATATGTATATTCTAATAATTGCATGTGAGAGAACTTTGGTTGCACGCATTAATTTAATTAAAATCTTAATTTCGTTAAAATTCAGTATTAAGATTTACGAATTTATGTAATAAAAATCCGGACATACTTCGCGCACCACGAATAAACCATTTCTACCGATGGGAAGTTGGGAAACTATATCATATATATATATATAAGTCAATTTAGTTATTAACTGAAAGCAACGATAAATTATTACAATCTTTCTTTACCAATCGAATCTAATCTCAGCATTTTGATTTTCGTATGGATTATAATATACAAGTCTTCTGCCCTTGAAGTCTATTCATATTTCATATTTACGACAATGATAGTTATAATTACCAGTGTCGCCAGTGTTTAAAAACTACGACGTTTGTTCAATCTCGACGATCCGTAAAACAATCGTAAAATCAATAAATTGAACTATGTTAATTTTCATAAACATTTGTTTTTTTTCGCCCAAGCAAATGACGGTAACAATAAATATTATGTATACATAATCGAGATTTAATTTTGACTTTTTTGAATTATCGAAAAAAAAAATCGCGTCTGAAAAATGCGAATGACCGCGAATGGAAATTTAGTGTACCTTCGAAATTGCAGACAAACATGTAACTCAGTCGTGTCTATCTGTACTAATATTACAAGACAAGACGAAAATGATCGGTCATCATCATTTCCAAAATCCCCAGAGTCGGAAATAGCGTATGCCTTCATGAATTATGGAGGCACTGATGTATAAATATATTAATGCAGGGATAGGAAGAAAACTTTTCGACGAATCGAAAGCGGTCATGTATGACTGCTGCGTGAGACACAAAGACAGTGTAGCCCTTTGAGTTAACGTGCAGTGTATCGGAATATTCGGAATATTGATCAGTGTCTAGTTCACACCATTGGTTTGTTCGGTAAAAATGTCTGCGTTTCTCGGATTTAGTATTTAGTTGCAGGTAATAGCGATTTCTATTTTTAATTTCGTTTTTTTTTTGTGTTTTTTTTTTTTTTTTCTTAACGAATTTTGTTCTTAAAAGTCTTTATACGCGTGTTGTAGATAAATATCTATGAACTTCAAATATTGCGGAACAAAAACTTTTTATTTTCAATATTAATACTTAAAGTTTTTGATAAGACGAGCAGCAAGAACAGCGTGCAGCGTAGAAATCATATTATTATTATTATAATATATACTGAGCAATATTACTGCACTCGCGTCTCTAAACTTTAAATCCGTAAAAATAATAAACTGCAGCCGAAAATAGAAATACATAATAATGTACATACATATATATATTCTACTCCGAAATAATGTAAAATCTAATATTATATTTTAACTAACCAATTAAATATTGTAAAAATGTATTTTTTCCGCGAAAACACCAGACTACTATTTCAATATAGTTAAAAAATAAAAACGTCGGTCTGTACCAATGAATGTAGTTCAAATGTATAGATGTTAGGTTGAAGCCGATAAGAGAAAATCCGCCGACTTCCTTTTAAGTGTAGTCCGCCAGCACGAAAAACCGTCTGCAAAAACAGTGCACTTATATTATACGTCACATAGTGTTCAACTTATTTTGGCTCCGCTTATCAGCCATTAACAGTTCGACTTTTTTCGTGGCCCAAAAAGATGCGGCCAGATATCGGCAGATACACGTCCAGATATTTCGCCACCCCGCACGCATATTGTGTAGGCCTATACGCGAAGTCCACTCGACAAAAACGCATTACTGCTTTTGTTGGAATTTTAAGACATTGAAAGTACTTGTTCCTTTTTCTTTTCGAGATCAACTACTACACTGTAGCCTGACGAAACTTCAAATGTCCATTGAAAAAATAATCCGAATAGTTCGACGGTGATCGGTCAAATTCAACATCCGTTTATACGGCGCACGTTTTATTCACATTAGGTGTAACAATAAAAGTATCGTAATTTGTTATCAACGAAGTATAAACATAACATATTTGATAAATCGCTTACTTCTCCTTCGCCCCCATTCCAATTCGAAAAATCGGGGTCGGCCGGCCGAAATTTTTGACAATAAAAAACTAAGAGTTTAATACTCACGCCCGTGTCGCTATTGACGTATCCGGAAATCCAACGGTTGGAAACCAATGGGGGCGGCGGCGGCGGTGGCTGTCGATCTGGTGCGGAAACGATGACGGACGTCGTCGCTGACCAGCCGCAACTTCACCGAACGTCTTTTTCGCCGGTTGGCGGGCGGCAACGACGACGGTGGCGGTTCCTGTACCGGGTTGAACTCGATGACGGTACCGGGCGGCGCGTGCTTGACCGGCAACAGCTGCACGTAATCACCGCGCGCCGAGTGTATGACGCCCGAAGCGGCGACGGCGAACGTCTGCAGTCGAGCCGACGTCGGAACGGACACCAGCCGGGCGGCCAACAGTATGGGCACCAACACGGCGGCCGCCACGACGCCACAACCGAGCACCAACATGACTATAATAATGATGACGGTGCGTCGAGTGCCGGCGACTCCGCCGCCGCTGCCACCGCCGTCGCAGTCGTCCGACGACGACGATCGCCGGTGGTGATGGTGGTGGTGGTGGTACTGCTGGTGCTGGTGGTATTGGTACTGCATGTGATGGCGGCCGATCGAGCACGACGGCGGTGGCGTTTCGTCCTCGCCACTGGACGCCGACGACAGCGAACGATCGTCCGACTGCGGCAGTACCGTGTACTCGAGTTCGGCCATCAAATCGCCGGAACCGTGCTGAGCACGCACGGTCTTGAACATGGCAACGGTTCCGCTGCCGACGCGGCGACACCTGTGTAAAGTAAAATGGGTTTGGTCAGATTAGGTTTAAGTTAGGTTAAGTTCGTGTCGGTAAGAGTTAGGAAAGGTCAAATAGTCTACCGTTACCTACGTAACTTGTTCCTGCGACTTTTCTACTACCCGCGTTTCACTTTTAGACATCACGTGTACACCGCGGTGACATCGCCAGAACTTTTACGATCCGACGGGCTAGCCAATCGTTTTTATTTGGAAAAACTCGTATCGTCTTAGATTATGATAACCAAGGGAGCTGATTGTATAGTTTCATTTTTTTATTTTTTCGAGAAAATTGCGCAGTACAATAAATAATATACTTGCAAAAGTTTCGTGCGCTGTAGCAACTTTATAGACAGTTGTAATCGAACTGCACGCTGCTATTATATTATTTTAAAAAGTTTATTTTTCTAATTTTCCAATTTCTTGGTCGAGCTACGAAAAATTAAAAAAAAAAAAATGAGACGAAAACGTAAGACAAAGTTCAAATGTAATCCCACTCGGACTCATTCGCCGCATTCAGTTATCGCGTATTCGAACACCGAATCCAAAAATTAATGATATTATACCGGTACTCCAAAGTTAGCTAAAACGTCGACACCGAAAACTTCGTTTTCACTAGTTTTACTTGTCTTTTTCCAATCCGGATGATCTATTTTGTGTATCGATATACAGTATACAAAGTATATTTTTGATCCCAGGACACAGGTCCTTAACATGGTACAATTAAACAAATAATATTAGTCGAAAATACTGGAAAGGTTCACACAAAGGAATCCGATATTTTTATGGTGATGTCGAGTCGCTGAAGTAAAAAAAATACAATCGGTCAATAGATAGAGTAGCGTTGGCAAAACGAAAAATTCCCCGAGGCCCGGTCTGACGAAAAACGAATCTCGGCGAAAAACTGTTTGCGTTGTTGACGACGTGTCATGGCGTGTATGTAAACAAATCCCGTCCTTTCAAAGCGGATATTCGACACCCCTCCGCCCATCTTTTTTTAAAAACATATACAGGTACACACCTCTTCGCCCTTTCTTCTTTTACTTTTTTTTTTTTTTTTCTGTTTTGGTTTTAACCCAAATACAGACATACATACATACATACATACATACATACATACATACATACATACATATATATATATATATATATATGTATATGTATAACTTATGTATGGTTTACACATGAATTGCAGCGACAGGGTCGGGTTTCCATATAATTTCACATAGGTATTACTACCGCCTTTTCTTGTTTTCGGTCACACTCCGCAGCCCGTACATTACGAACAAATCAAGATGGTGCAGCGAGGAGATTTCTAAAACACGTACAACGTTTACTTAATTTATTTATTTTATACGCATATATCTACGCGTGTGTGTGTGTGTGTGTGTGTGTGTATGTTTAAGTATTTTGTATCGGTCCGGCTAAATTCCGGTCACCACACCCGGTCGTAAACCCGGTCTAAAGTCAAAGTGTTTCAATTATCTACTTTTAAAATACCTAACCTACATTTCTAGGTTTATATATATAGGTGAAAATGTATGTATAGGGAGTGTTTAGCGGACAAACTGCAAAGGACGACGGGGGTTTTTTCGCCTTCGATATCGCATTGACCCACGCGCGCCCGAGGGACGTTTTATGTGGGGGATATGACATTGCACGTCGCAGTTGACCGCGCCATTAGTGTTTTCAGATTCCGTTGGTTTCACTGCGATGTGCGCTGATGGGTTTTTTTTTTTTATCTTTTTTTTTTCCGTGACATATTTTCGACCGCCGAAGAATTACGCAGATCGAAAACAAATTCACGGCGGCTACAAGAGTACAGCATACTTCGACTTAATTCAACAGATAATCTTAATCATTAATTTCCTGAATATTTTATTTCGTAATATTTTAGGTTCTAAGCGAGAACTGCTTGGTTTCGCTACGGTGTGTTATTATTTTTTTTTTTTTTTTGTTTTTTCGTCTGTGAACAAATTTTCTACCTAAAATCTTGTATCAATTAAAAACTTCATCAGAATTTTTCGTCTGGTTGGTGATATAGAAGAAGTAATTTTTTTGATTTTCCCTTAAAGTTTTCTTTTAAATGGGAAAAACTGGTCATTTGTTGTATAATTTCTACTATCCTTTCGGTTACGTTGGCGACAAAAAGAAAAAAATAATAATATCGAATATATTAATATACCCGTGTGTCATAAAAAAAAACTACAATACAGCTTTTCGTTACAATAATAAAGAAGCAATTAGTTGTATCCTAATTTACGGTTTACACACGCTCATAATCGAAAAACGGCGCCTGTAATCTGAGGTGAGTCAAAACGACATATACAAACTACTCTATTACTATTAAAATCGCGGAAAAAGTTTTTTTAAATTCGGTTGTTTTATTAAAATTTAGAGTTCCGTCTACTGTAATCACTAAAATGTATATAATAAAAAAATATTCACGTTTTACACAAAATTCTACACAATAATGCCACGAGTTGGACTAAAAAATTTTTTTAAAAAAATGCTATACATTATTGTTATTATTATTATTATTATTATACATGATATATAGGTGTATAAATACATAAATATAAAATGCAATATAATCAGTGCAATAAAATAAATGTCGCGTAAAAAAAAAAAAATTGTCTTCAGTTAGAAAATTTCTGGCGCCGCCGCCGTCGCCGTCGCCGTTAACGCGTGTCACGTTATGCGTGAATATCAAATGAAGAAACGGCACTCTGCCCGCCTCCCCTGAACGAAAATAGGGTACACCACACATTGATATCGTGCGCATATTGTAATAATATTTCAACAATTGAGTATTTCGGATTTTTAGTTTGTTTAACAATTTCAACGGTTTCAACGCAACCCGATTTCAAACGATTTTCAAACGTGCTGTTTTATTCCGTTAAATAATCTTTGATAAATTTAAAAAATATAATTATATCGGGTGTATATCGTTTTATGCGGATTAACTAAAAAAATATTCAAATATTATATGCAGAACTTTGCACCCGTATGGCCCGTATTTCAAAACTGTGTTACGTGTACAACTGTACTGATTTCCAACGGTAATATTGATTTTGTATAAACTGGACATTTAACACAATTAACGAGATTGAAGTACGTTCGCGTTTGCCCGTTGATAGCTTTTAGTATAGTCACGGTTTAAGACAATCATATACTGTTAGACATTAGCATAATATCAAAACCTGATATAGTAGCGTATGTATTATGTTGTCTGTATTTTGTCATCTGCACATCACATTAGACAGTGAGTGGGATTTGTATGTCTACATTTGCCGAATTCCAATGACTGTAACACAAGTTGGATTCACAATTGCTTTGAGTTTAACGTTAACGAAAAACAGTACGTCTGTAAAACATGCGATTCGTGTGCGTATAAAGGTATCCAGCATTTTTTAATCCGTAAGTATTAGTAAAACGGGTATGGTGATTGTATGACACAAACTAGGCGATAAATCGTTGAGAAGTTAACAGAAATAATGTGCCCTTCGACTTTTAAGTTTTAATAACCCCTATAAACCAATGAAATACAAGGACTGAACGTAACCCGCGTATTATGAAAAACGTAAAAAAGAAAACCCCCCGCTCTCACAACCCTTATTTTTTTGCACTCGGCACCCATAACCCATAATTCGTATACATAATACGGGTACACAAAGCCTTGATTTATATTATGTATAATACAAAATAATATTTTTTTGTGTTGTTACTGTTATTGTTGTGGTTTTTTCAAACCCTCCCCCCTCCCATTTCATAATTTCTATACACCAGCTGTTGGCCTCGTATATTACGATTCACAGTCTTTCCAAAGTAGTAGGTATGGTTTTGTAAAACTACGATTGAAATAAAAGTCCAACGTTCGTTGTCAATTTTCGTATAATATCTAAGATAACGCCGAAATATATTATATAGATAATATTTAACATTTCGACTGTACAGCGCTCGAAACTTTCCTTATACGGATACAGGGTGTAACTACAGGATTTACTACAATCTCCTGTGTACAATTGGTGTAATTGCAAAGTAAATTGACAAATCCCGCAGATACATTCTGTATATTATAAGGTCACGTCCCTACTCGATTTTACCATCATCTCACCCGCAAATTATTATAATTAATAATTTTTTTTTTTTTTATATAATAAAAATCTAACCGCTCCGAACCCTACTCAGTAACAACGAACGCAATTATAATAAAATTACGGTGCACCCGCGGAAAAAATATCGGCCTAATAATTAATCGCTGGCGTTCAATACCGTCATTACAGCGTCAGAAATCATTAAATTTCGTAATATTACTATATATAATAAGTAACAATAGCCGATATATGTACGAATTTTACTTAAAATAATCTGTAAAAAAAAAAAAAAAACGGACATATTTCGCACGATGGGTAGGCCACTGTTGTAGATGAGAAGTTAGGAAGGTAGGATATAGAAGGGAATTTAATGTATATCTGTACGCAGCAACGATTACTCGTTGTTAATGAAAAACAATTTTGAGCGGAGTTAGGTTACACGTGTTTGAAAGGTCGTAATATTTAAAATTTTCGTCAAAATTTAATATTAAAATTGTTAAAAAAAATTCTACATTACACTTTATTAAAACCGTAGGAAAACGCACAAATTTCGCGATTTCAGTATTTTATAAAAACGCGGACAACGTTTTCTACAAAAAAAAATTATTTAACCGAAAAATCACAAGATACCTTTTTTGTTGCCTTTTTGATTTACTTTCTTACCGTATTATTGCCAAAACTTTTGAGCATTTAAGAAATTTTAATTTTTGAGAGTTTTTTTGCTGTTATTCGGTTATAAATACACGTAGAGACTTGAAACTTGGTAATAATACTTATATTGGACTTACTTAGACGTGGTAAAATTTCCAAAATCATCGGATGACTTTTTTTTTTTTTTTTAATAAGCGTTTTGAAATTAAAGTTAAA